ACCCTAAACTATGGGAGCTATGGTACATTCCTTATTATGGGTACTGCAGGGTTTATATCATCAACCGTAGTGTCTTTAGGATGTAGGAGATTTGAGGATGTAGGGTTTCAGGATTCAGGGTTTAAGGATCGAATCTAGGGCGAGTGCTTTCAGGAAATACGAATTCTAAGGGTGAGTGTGCACGGAGGACGGGCTCTGGGTTCAGAAAATGTAAGCACAGCTCTCGAGCTGTGAACCCTAAACCCCAAACCCTATACCCTAAACCCTAAACTCTAAACCCTAACCTCTAAACCCTAGAGAGGTGTGTCTCATTGGAGTCTGGGCCGTTTCAGAGCATGTCCTGCAGAGTCAAAGCTCAAGACCCTACGTCCTAAAGCCTGGACCCCCTAAACCCGAAACCCGAAAACCCTAAACCCTATGTCCTAAAATCCTAAACCCTAAACCCCTAAACCCCTAAACACCTGAACCCCAAAACCCTAAACCCAATGCCCTAACATCATAAACACTAAAATCTGCTTCAGGAAGTCGCCGGAGCCTTCCACATCTTCGAAGTCAGAGGCCGTCGTCCCGGTTCAGGGGTTTGGGAGTTCAGCTTAGGGAGTTCGGGGTTTAGGGGTTTAGGGTTTAGGGTTTAGGGGTTTAGGGTTTAGGGTTTAGGGCTTTTGATAGCTGCCGAGTTGGGTGCCGAGTTGGGTCAGATTGGGGATTCGGGCCGCAGGGGTTTGGGATTTGTGTTTTTGGTTTGGTGATTGTGACTAATCTAGGGTTCCTTACTATGATTATGGTATAACATACCCCCTACATTAAAATCAGCTCCAAAGGAATCTCCGGAGCAATCTGCTTGGAAGTTCAAAGACTGGGGCTTTACAGTCCGAGCAGCATCGAAGGGCTCTGTGAATGTTCCAAACTTGGGTTCGCTGTGAGATACCCGCTACAATTCGCTACAAGTAGGTTACCCAGAGGGTCTAAATACACTACCATTACGGAATTAGGTCCCGAAAGACCATCCTTATTATGGTCTTGGGAACTTAATTCCATAATCGTAGGATATATGGACCCTCTTGGTTATGATTACAAGGACCCTCATGAGGGACCACGCTTGTCAGCAGCTGCCATGTAGCGAGGCTATGCGACTGCAATCTAGGCTTGTGCTGCTGATCGTAATCTTGGCTATTGATCGTGTGGGGGCACACCCATCTGCTGAGTGACTCCACGTAGCCCAGCCGCGGCAAGGCGAAACGACCGATGAACTATGCAGTGACCAGTAGCATTCGTTGTCATGTTGGCAATAACTAGTAGCAGAAAATAGCAGTTCCTGCTGGTGGTAGTGGTAATGGTCGTGGTCGTGGTAGTGGTGGCGGTGGTGGTGGTGGTGGTGGTGCAGCTCGATTTATCTCCACTCGTCTAGCGTGGCTGCTGCTGGATCAGATCACCAGCACTACTACTCTCACTGTACCACTACCAGCACCACAGCCACTCCTTACCCCACCAATACAGCATGCCTACCCCTACCACTAGAGTGCCCCTACTTTACTACTACCCCTACCCTTACCGCAAGCCGCTGCCACTGCCATTGCCACTGCCACTCACTACTAGTACATGACCACTGCGACTGCGACTACGACAACAGCTGCTACTTCTACCAGGATAGTATATTGCGACGACTACTGTTCTGCCTAGTACAAGTAAGTATTTGTAGTTCTTATTGCTAGACCACTACGCCGAACCTGGTACAGGACGAGACAGGCGACAACCTGGTACCTGTCTTGCGCAGTGCTCGCAGAACCCGCACGCACTCCCCTGGCAGGCGGCGATGCTTCGGGCTAAAGGGGGCTGGGGTTCTGTGACCAACATGACATATGCTGCCCTCTTCACCGTTGCCTGCACAGAACTCGTTGTTGGAAGCGAGATGTCAGAAAAGATAAGCAGTAAAGATTCTCTGCAGCGGCAGTCTTGTCCCGACATGTGCCACGAAAGTTGACTGCCCCTTTCATAAAATCACTCATGGTCTGCTTGTGTGTCGGCAGGCTGAGTCTTTTGGTGTGGCGGGAGCCGGGTGGACTTCTCACGGTTGTTTTTTCATCTGATCTCAAGTTTGTCTATAGAATAGCTCTGCTGCAAGCCCTAAAAATCCCAAAACTCAATCCCCAAAATATACCCCCCAAACCCTAAACACTAAACCCTAAACCCTAAACCCTAAACCCTAAACCCTAAACCCAAACCCTGATTATTCTAATTAAGAAGGCCCCTATGTTGGGACCCAGGTCCCCAGACCTCAGAACTCACAAATTCCAGCCGGCAGCCCTTCCTTCATCCCAAACCACTTCACCAGACCACCAAACCCCAAACACCCACAAGAAACGCCCAAAAGAGCCCAACAAAGCAAAAAAAAACAAAAAAAAAACACAAAAAATCCAAAAAAGCCCAAAGGATCCCAAATCTCTCTTGCTTCAGGCAGACGACGGTCGTCGATCCGGGACAGGAAGCAGGTCACGAGGTGCAAGTTTCGTTCGGAGTGGTGCTTTTTGTCTTTGGGGTTTCTCGGGTTTTGGGTTTTGGGGTTTAGGACTTTTTTTTTGTTTTGTTTTTTTTTTTTTT